GTATTACCGTTTCCACTTTTTCGTTTGTGTAGGCAAAATATTGAGAGTTTTGAGGCTTGCAGTTGGCAAACAGACACTACCAGCCAGTGGAAGAATACAGAACCAACTAACCAAGAATAATCTCTTGTAAAAGGATGATAGTCCCTCCGTCCCTTAAAACTTTGTCAACTTTCCTTTTTTGGATGTCCCACTAACTTTGCCGCTCTCCCTTGTAAGTAAAGAATTTGTGGTTCCAGTTAATTCTCTCTCCTGTGCACAAACTTCAACCACACAGTTTTTACTTTATTAATCCCCGTGCCGGTCAAACTTGGCAAAGTTTTAAGGGACAAAGGTAGTACATTTGAAGAACAAATCCGTATGTCAGGAAATTTTTGTAACGTACCTTGAAAGCACCACACTAAAAGTTTAAAAATTTCCTGAACAGATCTTCTGACTATGACAAAATAATGATTAATACATGATAATATAAGAACTAGACGGATACTTACTTGTTAGGGCGTTTAATCCTTAATATTTGATATCCACGCGATTTCTCCTTTTCGAAAGAAAGATTAGATTTCCGTTAAATAGAAAGCTAGAAAATCTATTTTCTCGGGAAAATAGATCTAATACTGAGTATCTAAAGATGTGTTTAAACTAGTATCCCAATCACAATGAAAGTTTTTCTCATTAATGAGTTCTAATCCTAACGTGACCAATACTCATTAGTGAGTTCTAATCCTAATAGGACCAATAATATTTGTTATTTTATGAAATAAATAAAAGAAAACAAAACAATAATAATAGAGAAGTTGCTGCACGCAACTCTCTAGTTATTATTATTATAATAATTATAATAATAATAATTATTAATAATATTATTATTATTACTATTATTATTATTATTATTATTTATTTCATTTGATTTATTTTTCTAATTCAAAATTATAAAAAGAAGTTCCAACTTTTTTAATAATAAATACATCTTAATTAAGTATAACAAATAAATCTAATTATCTTACTTAATTGATTCTATCAAATAGAATCCTCTTTCAGCATCATGAATTAAATATAGTTTAATCTAATTAATATTTAATCCATTTTCAATATTATGAATTAAACATTACTTAATCCATTTAATATTTAATGCATTCTAACAATTCAATCAGAAGGTATATTCACTTGTTGTGCAGCCCGTATGACCTTATATATTAAGCACTAATCAAATTAAGGTCTTAGTAGAATCCCTAGACGAAGGACGTTTGTGAAGGCTAAACGATTGTCTTTAATATATACTACCTCCGCCCCCTAATATTGAGACGAAAGGAAGTGGTGTGGTTTTTAAGAAAAACAGAATTATGTGGTTCATAATGATTTGATAAAGTGGGAATACACTAAGAATGAATTAGAGTCACACAAATGTTACCAAATATGGTCATTATCATTATCATTACCCCAATGCCGCAAAGTGTTACCAAATATGGTATGAGACAAAGGGAGTAGCTTATAATGACACAGTCCTTTCGTTCATGAAAATCCGACTAAGTTTAGAATCTAATATAGTGTTTATTATAATAATTTAGTCTATGTTTCTCATTCTTTCAAATGGTTTCTAGCTAGGATGTACCAATTATCTCCAAAATCTCCAAAATATGGTGTCTATTATAATAATTTACACATGAATAGAACATATCAAATGGTTTCTAGCTTGGATCTAGGTAGTTAACTCGCTACTCGGTAGTAACTCGGTCAAGGACCGAGTAGCGAGTAGGACCGATTACTCGGGATTACTCGTTGATTACTCAGCCTTGTATTTATTAAATTTAATAACATAAGTGCCAGAGAGTATAGAAATATAATAGTCTTACAATTATCTAAAAATGCATAGAAATGAATAAAATGATAGAAAACGATGGAGTAGCAAAAGTCATAAGCATTCTAAGTTTTCACGAAAATCAATCATCTAATAGTTTCGTAAGATCTATGTTCTCTAAATCACTGTATTTACTAGAATACACTGTATTTACGCTAAATCATAGAGATAAGGCTAAGTATTTGTTACACTCATATCTTGCTGTGTGTTTATCCGTTTGGAGCGTATTATATCTCGTTGGAAATATAGATCGGAGCTCTAAAGCTATTGTTCCAACTTCATTTACGATGCATTATATAAAAGTTACAGATTAACGATATATTCACAAATGTTTCTGATTTCACTCCGAACTCGTGTATGTATTAGCATATTCAGTCCCATTATAAGCCTCAGCAGACTGGGTAGAGTTCATGATTGTCAATCAATGATGTGTGATAGTGTGTATCAATCAATATAGTGATATTAATTAAAAGTTACGTAATATAATATATATAGCCATACTAGTGAAAAGAATTTATTTATATCAAAATATATGTGTGTTGATACTTTAAAATACAAATCAACTGAAAGATGGGAGGGTGAAAGAAGAAGAAACGAGAGAGGGAAGAGGGGAAGATAAGAGAAAAAAGATGACAACTTATTGAGAAATTGTAGTCACAGATCTGGGGGATAGTAGATGTCAGAAATTCCGTTCAGTCTAGGTTTTGTAACTTAATTTTTCAATTTTTTAAGAGGGAACGAGTTAGACCGAGTAACTCGCCGAGTTGAAAACTTCACCGAGTTGAGAAACTCGACGAGTACTCGGCGAGTAACTCAAAAATAAAACACGGACCGAGTTAGGTAGCTACTCAACAAGGTCAGTACCCGAGTTGCGAGGACTCGCCGAGTACTCGCCGAGTACTCACTGAGTAGATAACCTAGGCTTGGATATAACAATATCTCCAAAATATATGTGACCGTCATGAATGGCTACAATACATAGTTGTGAGATCAACTGCACTTTCTAAAAGTATGATGTATTCCACATACTAATCTTATCGCATATTATTGATATTTCATTTTCGATGATCATTGATTGGGGTTATTATAGGACATCATGTTATGTCAAACAAGTATTCATTTACTTAGGATGTTTTTACTTAGACTGTTTTTAGTCCCAGAACAGACTAGACCAGACTTAAATAGATCAGACCAAACCGGATTTTAATAGACGAGACCAGAACAAACCAGACTTCCATAGTTATAAAATACACATAGACCAAACATTTACCATACTTGTTCAGACCAGGCTAGAATTAAACATATCAGATCAGACCAGTAAATTTCAGTCCAATTAAAAACATCCTTAGTGATAACATAAGTCCAAGAGAACACACGTATGAATAATATATAGACAATAAAAAACAATTAATCATAAATTTGTAACACCTCAAATATCAAATATCATAAACCTAAATATGATATTATGATGGAGCACATATATCTCTAAATAGTGATTTTTGTGGGCCTTACAATAGGCTAGGGCTAAAGTACTTTAGACCTGCACAAAAACAGGCTCAGGTCGGTCTTTTTTCTAAATTTTCTGCCCATTCATGTTGGCAAGCCCGACCTGGTCTGCAAGAACCAAGCCTAACCACATGCCCATACCCGCCCATAAGAGCGAGGCGGGTAGTCCACCGCGCCGCCCAGTCCGGGAAAACTTTAATTTTTTCAAAAATATCAAAACAATTTTTAACACCTTTGAAATAATATTACAACATTTTAAAAATTGTTTATAATGTTTATATGCCTCTCACCGCATACACAAAAAATATTTACACAAAAATAATCATGAAAACTATAACAAAAACTTAAAATTCAAGCACAAAGTATTATCTTTAATTATAATAATAGATATTGTCTGAACTTGAATCCCTCCTGCTGGCTAAAGAGTTGCGAATAAGAAAACTTCGTGACTCTTCGTAGCAGACATTATTCTCTGCTAATGTTGCTCAACTTGAAGAAGCTCCATCTGCACAAAATACTGATACCGGTTCTCAAAACTCTATTGAAAGTCCATCTGCACAACTTGCTGAGTATGATAATTCTGGTACAAATTCTACCTATAGAGGTAGAGGTCGTGGCGGTTTTAACAGAGGTAGAGGTGGTAGATCTGGAGGTCGCAGTTCTGTTATCTGTCAAGTTTGCAGTAAAGTTGGTCATAGACTCATAGTGCTCTTGTTTGTTATCACAGGTATAATCCTGCCTATACAGTTTCCAATTCTACCTTATCAAATCAATCTATGAATCCTTATCACTCCTATCCACAACAACCTATCCCATATCCAAATCAATCTCAATCCCAATCACCTCAACATAACTACTATCCTATGTCTAATCCTTATCCACACTCACAATCAACTCCATCAATACCAAGCTACTCTCCTATGCCTAATCCCATTCAACCTCCTCAACATACCAACTGGGGATTTATCAACCATCCTGTTATACATCCACCTCAAAATCAGACTGTACCAACTGTACAACTGCAGCCTGGGCTTCTGCAAATTCTTCTTTGCTAGGACCAGCTCCTAATGCTCAGAATTGGTTTCCAGATTCTGGAGCTTCACACCATGTCACACCTGATCCCCTCAACATTCAACATAGTGAGCCACTTGCTACAACTGACAAGCTATTCATGGGTAATGGTCAAGGTTTGGACATTAAGTCGATTGGTTACTCTTCCTTTTCCTCTCCTTATCATCCTTCATATACTCTTTTACTTAACAATATTCTCCATGTCCCTTCCATAACCAAAAATTTGCTTTAGTGTTAGTCAGTTTGCAAGAGATAACAATGTTTTCTTTGAATTTCATGCTCATGAATGCTTTGTTAAATCACAGGCTTCTAAAAAGGTTCTATTACATGGCATTCTGGGTGCTGATGGTCTCTACAAGTTCCAGTCTCTTCCAGCTCTTGTTTCCAGTCCATCCTTGTCACAAAATAAATTCTATAATAACATTCAGACCTGTAACAGTTCTATTTCTTGTAATCTGTGGCATTTGAGGCTAGGTCATCCTCATTTTGAGGCTCTCAAATCTGTAATGCAACAATGTAATGTTTCTACTTCCAATAAAAGTGCTATTGATTTCTGTTCTTCATGCTGACT